GCCAGGTGGAACTTATTAGGATGGGCGTGTGCTGAGATTAGACCGGTCTAAAAGTCGAGGCCAGCCATCCCGGAGGCCTGTCCTTCCCCGCACGCTCTCCCTGGTTCAGCACTTTCTCCCGTCCTGTGCTGGCTTTTCACACAACCCCCACCCTCAAGAAGAGAAAAACGCTCTCCTGTGAGGCCACACCCCTTTGCTCAGCTTATTCAGAAGAGGACCTGATCAGGGAGAAGATCCCAGGCCAGGGGGCCCAGACCACGGCCTTTCAGGAACCACCGGGGACATGTAATGGGTAGCCATCGTGGGACAAGGAGCTCCTTCTCCAACTGGCCAGACTGGCAGGCACCCGCTCTGCCCACAATTTGGAGTGATTTATTATCAGGGTCAAACCACACACCAGCCTTTCAGCGGGCTGGCTGCAGTGTACATGGCCTCCCCCAGGCCTCACAATAAGTGTTGCTTCCCATCTTGATTTCCCAGCTGAGGGGCTGGGCCACAAAGAGGAACCTGTCTCGGGACCCCGGCTGCCAGTGGCAGAGGCAGGACGGAGGCTCTCCTGGTGCACGTCCACAAGCTTTCTGCCACGTGAAGGGACCTGTCCCCTGGAGCAGGAACCTCAAGGGTGTTCCAGCTGTCAGGTCAGGCGGTGTTAGACTCTCCAAGCTGTCAGCGCTGACAGGAGCATGGCCCAGGGCAGGCAAGGGGTCAGAGGTTCCAGGCTTGAGGGCCACTAGCCATTCTCACCTGCACCCGCTCCCCTGAGCCAGAGTCAACCCAGTGTCGTCAAACATGCGAGGCATCCTGGGATGCGCTTCCCTGAAACCTCCCTGTTCTCAGAAACAGTTCATCCACTCATTCTCTTGCCAGGCGTGTATTGAGCACTTACTGAATGCCACGCACTGGTCTGGGGATACAGCAGTTAGCAAGAGGAAAGGGCCTATCTTCTGGGAGCTTCTATTCTAGTGGGGATAAGCAAGGAGGCAAGGGAAAACCTTATAACTACATGAGAATAAGTGCTGCAAACAGTTAAGAGTACTCACCCAACAGCTGTTTATGTCCTCATGGAGGTTCTAATGCACCAATGTCCTGTGAGGGTGATGGACAGAGGGAAGCTGCTTCAGGTGGGCCAACCCAAGAGGGCCTCTCTGAAGAGGTGATATGGCACGAGAGGAAATTCTTGGGAAGAACGAAGGGAAGGGCAATCCAGGCCAAAGGAACAACAAATCCCAAGGCCTATTGGTGGGAAAGAGCCTGTGGGTTTGAGGCACTGAAAAGAAGCTGAGGCTAGGAACCGGGAGTTGTGGGCATGCGGCAGAAGCATGGAGAGGAGGTGCGGGAAGGCAGCCCACAGGGAGACATCACCTTCTGGCCCACCCAGCTTGCATGTTACCAAAGCAGATTCTCACACTATCCCCTAACCCAGGCTCCCTGTGGTGAGTGCTGGTGCCTTGTACTCGGTCTGCTTGCGGTCCTGTCATTCATTACACAAAGGGAGAGAAAAGAAAGAAATGCAACCCATGCAATTAACCTCCTGACCTGCAAAGGGACCACAACTGGCAATTAAATGAACACTATTGTCAATGGTCATAAAGATTTGTGTTTGTATTCTCAGAACAATGGGAGTCCACTGAAGTGTTCAGGAGTGGGAGAGACTGGACCAGATTTAGGTTTTAAAAAGATTGTTGTGCTGTTGTATGCAAAAGGGAGTGTCTGGGGCGTATCAGTCCACCAGTGTCCCTGAGGGACAAGACAATGCCCTCAAACGGGTGATACTGAATCAACGACAGGGCTCTCGACAGAGGTGGGGCAGGTGAGGGGCAGTGTGGCAACCCAGGACTCCCACTGAGGCCAGAAATATCTGGAGGACTGGAATGGGAAGGCAGGGGCGGCGGGGGGCGGGGGGCGGTCAGCAGCAGGCCAGAGCCCTGGCATGGGACGGTGCCTTACCCCTTTCTGCTCCCACCTCCCATTGCCTGCAGCGCCTCCTATTGGCCAAACCACACAGGCTTCAGTGAGGTTCAAGGTCAGCTTCCAGGAAAAGGCAGAGGGTAGAGAGAGGGGTGGCTAGCAGACACTGGACACCCAGGAGGAGACAGGAGGAGAAGACAGATGGGATTGGCAGAGCCAGGTGAGCGCCTGTGCTGGCTTGGACCAGGTAGTGGCAAAGGAAATGCAAATGGCTTTGGGAATAAGGGCAGGCGAACCTCAGGACTAGCCAAGGATTGGATTGGGCTCTGGTAGAGAAAAGATTTCCTCTTTGAAGCCTTGGAAAAACACAAGATGCAAAACTGGTGGAGGGAACAGGGCGGGGGTTGGAGTGGAAAGAGCAGACGTCAAGGCCCACAGGCTGGAGGCAAGCCCCGGATTCAGCGCAGGCATTGAGTGAGGGCAGGGAGGATACTCAGAGTACCTGCTGCAGGTTGCAGGCCTCCACTGGTCAGAATACCAGCAGAGCTGGCTGTGGGAGGCACCCCCCTCTGTTACTGGGCCACAGGCAGCCCAAGGCAGAGGTGTGGCTGGGAGCAGGGGACCCCTGGGGGTCGGGACAGGCCAGTTCACCCCTTGTTAAATATTTTCCTTGTTGGTCCTCCCATTGTGGGGCATCCTGGGTGCATCACCACCCAGGTGTGTCATTTCAGTTAAGGGGGATCATGCTGGAATATTCTGAAGGCAAAAGCAAACGAAAGAAGCAGAGCTCAACCTGAGATGGCATTTGGGGTGGGAGGCCCAGCCCAACTCAGCAGGATGAAGAAAGATATGTGACATTCCCTTATCTATGAGACCCCCGACATGCTCAGGGAAGGGGCATGAGCAAGGGCAGCCTTGGATGGCACTCCTTCCCTCCATGGTCATTTGCAGAAGTCTTTATCCCTCTGTCCAACTAAACAAGTTAGAACCCAGTCATGGGTTATGGGATCCCTTCACTAAAGTGTAATCAGCATTGTTAAGAACAAACAGCAAAGAAAAGGATACTATCAAAAGGGAAAAGAAAGAAAACGTGTGTGTGGTAGCTATCCAGCACAGAATATGTGCTGGGTCCTGAGGAGAAGGTAGCAGACAAGCTCCATGGAGCCCATGTTCCAGGCACTTACATAAATACCTCTCAGGGAGGGAGTTTCTCTGTAACATAGATGAAGAAAATCATCCCTAGAATGAGACCGGGGTGTGTGGGGGGGGAGGTAGCAGGAGGCATAGTTATATAGCAATGTCAAGACAAGGCTTCTATCAGGGTATTTACATGGAAGGGCCCAGCCAGACTCAGAGTCACAAAAAAGCATTCCTAGCCAAGAGCTCAGCACATGCTAAGGCACTGAGGTGAGAAAGACTGAGAGAAGACCAGTGTGTCTGTAGCATGGTGAGCACATGTAGTGAAGCAGAAGTCAGGCCAGATGGAAAGGCTTGTTTCCAGCTAAGAGCAGTGAAAAGTCGTGCGGGGCCCTTCACTATCCTGCTATCAGCCCTGGGTCCAAGGTCCCAGGCTCACCATGGCCCAGGACTGCCACATTCTCTCAGCCTGCTCCCCAGTGACTTAGGAGTGGACTCTCCCTGGTTCAAAACAGAACACACCACATGCCTGCCCAGAGCTGAGGCCCAAGTAGGGCACTAAAGGAATGGAAGTCTGATACTGCGTGCCCAGCGTGCCCACTGCTGGGACCTTAGCCACATATGTCTGTTTTCAGTGTAGCAGATTATTCTGTGTAACTCATGCACCCAGCAAATAAGCCAAGAGATAGACAAGGGTGTTCAGTGAAGAGTCTGGGTCCCTCCTATTGCCACCTGCTCCCACAGTGCCCCTTCCCAGAGGCCACCCTGTGGACATTTCCATGGATATGTTAAGCAGTAAAGGGTCTCCAGCTAGGGTTGCAGAAGTCTGATTTGGATTGTGGTCTGGGCACCAGGAGCACAGGGCCCTCAGGCAACATGGGCGTCTGGAGTACAGGCCTCCCCCTTCCGTGCAAGGACACTTGAGAACATCACTGCTAGGTGTCAGCTACTCTCTGAGCATTCAAGCCACATCAGTGAACACACAGGCAAAGACTTCTGCCCTCAAGGAGTGTGTAGTCTATCGCAGGAAGATCAAAAACAGGCAGCAGGAAGACTCAGACAGAAAATGATAAGGAAGGTCAGAAGAGAGCTATACTATGGAGAAGTAAGAAGTGGAGCCAAGTGATGTGTTCAGGCCGGAGATGCAGGCTGTAATGTGGAACAGGCCAGGAGGACAGGGCTTATTGAGAAGGTGACAGCAGTCATGAAGGTAAAGGGAAGAGGAAACAGTGCAAATGTCCTGAGGCAGCTGGGCTGGTGTCATTGAGAAATCAAAGAAGCCAGTGTGGCCTCAGCAACATGGAAAGAGTCAAAGGAGAGGGGTGACGTTGGGTGAGACAGGCACCCACTTGGAGACTCTTTCTGTAAACTGGATGAGGATGTCTGAGGCTGAGCAGCAGCCACAGTGTGAAGCCAGCAGGACCCTAAGTGGGACCAAGAACTTAGCCCAGGCCAGGCTCTGCTCCAAGTGCTTTGCCAGTATTAATCCATTTAATGCTCACATAAACTTAAAGACCTGGTGTACTCATGGTCCTGTATAGATAAGGATACTGACGCACAGAGAAGTAAAGGAACTCACCCCAGGTCACACAGCTCAAAGATGGCTGAGGTCAGATTTGAACCCAAGTCATCTGAAGCCCAGGTTCTCGAAGAGCCACATGTTTTGGACAAAAAAGTCACAACCCTCACCCTGAGGAACGGTGTTTGTAAAGAAAATAGAACACAGAGTTCTTCTCAGAGAGGTGAGCCAGCAGACAGACAAGAGGTCCGGCTCAGGTCTAACACCAGGAAGTCCTACCTGCACACTCACCAGAGGTGGGAACTCAAGCATACCCCTCGACTTCCCCACATCTCCATCCCACACTGTGAGGAATGGGAGCCGTGACGATAGCTGCCTGGCACAGGGCATGGCTCGGTGAGGGGGTCGAAGTGTTGTCATCCACCTGGGGTGACACAGGCTGCCCACAAGAGTGGGCAGGCCGGGCTGGACAAGGGACCAGAGGTAAGGGGAGCCTGGGTCCCAGGACCTGGGAGGAGCCATTGACAGCCAGCAGCCAAGAGTAATGGTCACCAGAAGGAGGCTGAGTCACAGAGAAGGACCTGCATTAAGGGCTTCTAGGAAAAACTGACCACTGGAGAAGATAGAACGATGTAGGGAACGAGACCCCAGACACACAGACCTGCCAGCTGTGTGGCCTTCACATGTCTGGACCCATCTTGGCCTCAGTTTCCTCATCTGTGAAACAGAGAAGGAGAATGTCAAAGGCAGCTGGCTGAGACAGAGAGAGGGCTGCAGGTCGCAGAAGCTCCCTGTTGGGATGAGGAACTTGGCTCAAGGTGGTCATACGATCCTTTTGTCTTCTTCTTGCCCCTGGAGGGTTGGGGTCACTCGGGACTGTTTCTGAGGAGTACATTCAAAAGTAATTTCTATTTTCGGCTGGGAAGCTTTTGGGGGCTTGGCATGGTTATGCAAAATCCGTACCCATGTCCCAGCTGTATGTGGCCGCTGAGCTTTCAAGTGTGCCTTGTTTGGTTTGTTCGTGGGTAGACTCTAAACCACCTGGGGTTCCATTCTGCCTTGCTTCTTGCTCTGCTCCCCGCCCTTGGCTTGTGTGTCTTGCCCTGAAGAAGAGCTCTGCTGGTCGTCCACAGGCCACCAACCTTCTGACTCCTGGCTTCTGGAGGCTTGTCAAGTACATCTCCCTTGTTCACAGATCCCATCGCTGTTTAGGTATTACGGCTTGACTGTGTACATTTTTCTTTTCTTTTTATCTTCCTTGCCCACGTGCCATGGATCTGAGGCCTTCTTTATCTCATCAGCAATAAAATCAGCCATTTTCTGACACTTCTGTGTCAAGCACTCTATTTATTCTGAGAGGACAACCTTTTTTTCTGCCCTCATCAAAGTTCAACAAAGCTTCAGAGTGATACTATGCCCTGAGAGTGGCCTTTTCCCAGAGATTCCATTGGTCTGGGCAGCTTGTAGTCTATTTTTTGCCAGTAACTTTCAAATTTCTATCTCCTGCTAGGATCTCTCCCCTGAATTCCGTCCGGTCTTTTGAATCCAGTCACCTGTCTGCATCTCCACGTGAGGGTTTCTGAGACACCAGCAGCCTTTAGGCTGTTGCTCACCCCTAATATTTGTGGGACCCGGGGTGAGAGGGAAATGGAGGTCCCATCCCCCTGCTTCTCCTCCCTTCCCGGCTCCATCCAGAGTGTCAGGGTCTAGAGCCCTCATGCAGACAGAGCTTGTGCTCTGTCCACACCCATGCCTGCCTCCACAAAAAGCACTCTTCCCCTCCCAGGCCTAACAAGGCATATGCCTGTGCTGCAGCGTCCCTTTGGAAGGGTCAGGACTGGGAGCAGGCTCCGAGTCATCTGGGCAGGGAACTCTGGGGTCCAGTTCCTGAAAGGTCAAATGTCAGCCCTCTTCCTGGGCTCATGGCTGACCATCACTTAGTCCTGTAGATTTTGTTTCTGTCTCTCCCTCACCAGTCCCTGGGGCTTTGTCCACACCGCCTCCCTCTCATCCAGAAGGCAGAGCAACAGTTTTTCCCACGTCTCCACTTGTCGCTCCAATCCATTCCCAGCTATTCCTGAGACTAAGACCCTAGCTAAGCGGTTTCCACTTGCCCAACACAGACTCCGCCCCCTGCAGCCATACCACACCCCTCCTCACAGTGGTTTTAAGCACATTTTAGGGTGGTTTATTACAGAGCAAAAGCTGACTGACGCTTCAGGATAGTTCCTGGAGCTCCCCCGGGCCTTCCTGACCTCTGGTCTCTCAAAGGGGCCACTGCCCCTCCGGGTCCTGCTTCACCCTGACCTGCCGGCTGAGCTCCGTCTCAGCCTTTCAACTTGGTCTTAAACAATTGCTCTGTAAGAAGGCTGCTCTCACCGTCCTGTCCTCTGTGTAACTCCTGGCTGTCCCTGTCCCCCTTCCTCTGATCCTCCTAGTCTGTCATCCCTGTCGAGTCTCTGCCCCTGCTCCTCCCTGCCTCGCTCTCTTCAGCTAGGACTGGCCTGCCTCACTGTGAACCAAGGGGTCTCCCTCTGGTGCTCCTCCTGTCCACAAAGCCCTTCTCCCTATGCCCGTTCACCTGATCCATGTCTCTCTACTCTGAGGGGCTGTGAGCTCCATGGGGACAGAGACCACCACAGATCTTCAGCTCCTACCACGTGTCCGGCACAGAGCAGGAGCTCAATAAATGTTTGCTAAGCGAATAAATGGCTGAACAAATGATTTCCATCTGAGTCAACTTTCACTCCAGCACTGCAAACGGCTGTAAATGCGAGCTCAGGGTGGGAATGCAGGGGCAAGCTGCATCCGGCTGAGTGCCCGGCAAGCCCAGGCGGAGAGCAAGAACTCCTCCATCGCCCACGGGTCACTCAGGCCAAAATCATCTCTGCAGTCCTCCCTGGCTCCTCTGTCTCATGACCAGCACCCAGCAACACGCTCACGATGTATCCAGGACTCTACCCCTCAGTCTTTTCCCAATGCAGCAGCGACAAGGACCCTCCAAAAACATGAGTCAGCCCACATCTTCCTCTGTTCGGAACCCACCAACAGCTTCCCACTTCACCCATGGAGGTGAAAGCCCAGGCAATGAGCTGGGAATCCCTGCCACCATCCTCGCCCTCGCTTGCTCTGCACCCTGAGAACTCCCCATCCTCCCTCCCCTCCTCCATCCCGCTCCCCCTCCAGTGGTTCACCCAGCTGGCCCTCTCCTGGATTCAGGTCTCCCAGGAAGAGGTTAACTCCTGCCATCACCATCTTCAGGTCATTGTGCCAAAGCTCCCTTTCCCGTAAGTCCCCCGCTGACCACACTGTACAAAGTAACAACTCTCCACCCCCACCAAATCCTCCCCAGTCCCCTCACCAGGCTTTTTTCCTTGCCATTGCATCTTCTGCATCAGGCCTGCTGCCTGTTGGGCCGTTTATGCATTGTCTCTCATGCTCCATGAGGAAGTTCGTTCTTTGACAGGAGGGATTTTTGCTTCTATTGTCCTTAGCTGCATTCCCATCATGCCTGGCTGGTGATGAATGCTCAATAAGTCTTTCTTGAATGATTGAAGGAATAATGTCACACTGCTCAGGCAGTCCCCTCCTCACCCAGGGGTCATTCCAAGGCCTCATCTCAAATCTCAGCCCAAGCACCAGCCCCTGCCTGGCTCCAACCCACCACCTACAACCAGGGCAGAAAATGACCCGGCTGTGAGCAGCTCATGCCTTGCGTGCTCCGGGACGGGTCTTTCCTGTGCCCCTCTGCCTCACCAGGGCTCCCTTCACAGCAGCCACACTCCTCCCTAAGGTGACCTCCTCCTTCTGCTTCATCTGGGTCAGGAGTGACTGCGGGGCAATGACTGCCTTTCTGGCTATCACTAAGCTGCACTGTGTTCCAGAGCCCAGCCACCTAGGTTGGAACCTAACCGGGTTCAATAGACCTTTCCTAAATTCCAGCTCCGGCCCACACTTAAGAGGGATTAGCTGTGCTTGCTCACGGTCCCCCATGGATGTCAAACTTGGAGTGGGCGGGGCTGAGGTGCCTACCAGGGACCACTGCACTGCAAAGGGGACCAGCACGGGCAAGATTGTTGCCACTCATCACTCTCCAACTTCTTGTCACCTATTTGTCACCAGCAAAATCTGGTCAAACTTTCTCAGAGAAGCAGACCTACAACTATTCCTTCCACTCTTCAGTAGGGCAATGGGCTGTTGAGTCTGGGTACATTGCTGTAAACAGGAACAAATGTCAAGGCACTGGGGGATATGTGGGTTACTCACATTTTTCAAATTGAATTGAATTGAATATATTATGATCTCCTTAGGTGCAAGGAATAGCCTACTCACCTCTCACATCCTCAAGGCCTACTTAGCTAGGAGCTGGCATACAGAAAGAAATTCTGTTGCACTGGCTATGTAACAAGTACCCCAAAACTTAGTGGCTTGAAACAATGACCACACTTATTTGCAAATCTTCAATTTGAATAGGCCTTGGTGGGGATGGTATATTTCTGCTCCACTTGGCCGCAGCTGGGGTGATTCAAAGCCTGAGAGCTGAAATGATCCAAAAGACTGCTCATCGTATTGCTGGGAGTGGAAGCAAATCCTTGGCTGAAGTCTTAGCTGGGGTTACCAGCCAGGACACACACACATGGCCTTTCCATGTGTCTGGGACTTCCTCAGCACACGGACACTGGTTTCCAGGGCTGAGTGTCCTGACAGACAGCCAAGAATAAACCCTATCACTTTGTATGATGGAACCTGGAAAACCATACAAGCTCACTCCTGCCACATTTGTCAAGGCAGCTGCACAGTCTCCCAGGCTCAGGGGGTAAGAAATGGTGTCTATATCCTGATAGACAGTGGTTCTAGAAATGCATGTGGGACTAGACATATTGCTCTGGCTCTTTTGGGGAAATACTATCTGTCGCAAAGGGCTACAAAATGCCTTCAGCATCCCAGCAGAAAAAAAAAAAAAATCATTCCCACCTAAACTTCTGTACCCAGCAAAACTATCAATCAGGTGAATGTCTGGAAATTCTCAAAAGTCTACATCCTGTGACTTTCTCTCAGAGAGTGTTTGGGCACTAGGAAGTGATATTTAATTTAGGGTGGTTGCAAGGGTTTGTGATCATGACATATAGACTGGAACAGATAACAGAAAGATCAGTTGAATAAAATAGAACCTGGACACAGGCCTATGTGTAAACAAGCAGATACTATCTGGCCATGGTAACAGTGCAGATTAGACTGGCAAAATTTAAAAGCCTGATAGTACAGAGTGTTGGCAAGGAAACAGATCAAAGGCAACTTAAATTCCCTGTTCACAGGGTGTAAATTGGTGCAACCACTTTGGAAAACAATTTGTTATTATCCAGGAAAACGGAACAAATGCACATCTTCTAACCCAGCAATTCCACTCCCCAGTGTCCACCCAAGAAAAACTCTCATACCTGTGCATCAGGAAACATAGAGAAAATTGGTTCTAGAACCATTGTTTGTAAAAGAAAAAAACTGGACACAGCACAATGTTCCACAACAGTAAAATAGATCAACTGCCTTATATTCTTACAATGAAAGTTTACCAGGTACCCATGAAAATGAATGGGCCACACACACGTGAGCCGAGGTGGATGGCTCTCCTGATGCTGAGCAAAAAAGCAAGTCCCCAAAGAAGAAGGGCAAATGCTCACCTTTCTGTGTTCACCACCAGGTGAGACTAAACAAGCTGCTAAGGACACACACGTGGGTGATAAAACTAAACGAACCAGGCAAAGCACATCACGGAAGTCAGGGTGAGGACCCCAGGGATTTCTAAGAGACTGGAAAAGTTTCAGTTCATAGTCTGCATATTTTTTCTTCTTCTTCTTCTTTTTTAAATAAAATTATTCTTGGGGTGCTAGGTGGCTCAGTCAGTTGGACATCAGATTCTCAGGTTCGGCTCAGATCAAGATCTTAGGGTCCTGGGGTCAGCCCACATCTGGCTCCACGCTCAGCGAGGAGTCTGCTTAAGATTCTCTCCCTCTCCCTCAGCCCTTTCCCCGACTCTCCCTCAAAATATACAAATCTTTAAAAAATAAACAAATGAAATAGAATGATACATTCTTCCATATGATTTCTGTATTTCATAATTTTAAAATGGATAAAACTAAGAAGGTGGAAAACAAAATATTTAATTTCAGGGAGAATTGCAAACATTGGGGAAGTGTCAGAAGGGAGCAACACTAATGTAGTCATAATAGGACAAAGAAACATGGGTACTCAAACCCTGAGTCAGCCACACTGGGTAGCTGATGAACAGAACCCAGGGTTGCATGGGATGTTTGATCTTCAGCCCATGACAGGAAGTCGACTGATATTTATTCACAATTCAATCAAGAGATTGAAATCTAAACCTATTATTTACAAAAATGAAGACATATATCAGAAGAAACAGCCAGAAGAGTTGAGAAGAGGGGAGGGGTGTCAGGGTGTCAGGGGCCAAGGAAGTGCTGGTTTTTATCACATGGCTTCAATAAACCTTGTTTAATATTTAATATTTAATAAATAGTTGCTGGGGGAATTTGCCTTTAAGTCCTTCAGAAACGCAAATTAAAGTGATACTTGGGATTTTTCTCCCCATCAAATTGGCAGAGAATAGAAAGGGTGATAATACTCAGCACTGGTAACTGTTGAGGTAGCTAGCACTTTCCTACACTCCCACATGGGTGGATGTGAATTGGCACCCACAACATATTGTGCATTTGTCTATTTTTTCAGTGTTTTGAAGCATTTATGAATCCATGGTTGGTTTTGGAGGTGGTTCCTATTAAGTTATATTACTATTGGTTTAAGGGGTGCTCTGATTAGGCCCAGCAAAGTTGGGGTAAAGACTCCTTGGGTTAGTGCCTGGGGAGGATCAGTTTCAAAATGTGAGCCTGAATCAGGGTCTGGAATAAATTAAGATTCTGATGGAGCCAAGGCTGGGATGAATGGTCTTGGGTTGGAGTTTGCCAGGATGTAGATTTCCCATTAGGTTCGAAGTCAGGCAGCTTAGGATAATGTGTGTTCCCAAGTGGGCAAAAGGAACTGCGTAGGCTTTGAGACATCCCGCCTGCCCTCAACACCTCCCTGCGACTTTCTGCAGCAATTCAAAGCAGGCGTCTTCGGGTCCCCAACCGGGACGCTGTGGCCGAGGAAGGGGAGGCTGCGCTCATATCAGCTAGCAGGACTCCCGTCCCCACGCTCAGCTCATACTTGTGCTAGGAGCAACCGGACACCGGCCTCCGGGGCAAGGGAGCCAAGGTCGAGGTGGCACTGTTTGCGCCGTCCCGCTTGACGTGAGCCCGCAGGGCAGCGTCTTTTCAACTTGTTTACAAACCTGCGTCACCGGGGAACTTTTCACCGCTACCTAGGACAAAAGGTTCCTCTTTTGTAAGTCTCCTTTGGACAGAAAGGGCATTCGCACGGGCCCGGGGCTCAAACTGGTGCAGGGCGCCACCCCGTGGTAGATTCAGACACCGCGCCCACACCCATCAGCTCGTTCCTCCTTTTGCCCATCTATACTCCTCTACAATCTACCCACCATACCTGCATCATCTATCCATACCACCCATCCACCACCCATTCATCCACCTCTCTACCCCGCCACCCAGCCAATCAATGCATGTCCACCCATCAACACACCAGCCACCCATCCGCCTACATAAGTATAGCTCAGCTATACATACATTCTCTCTCCATCCAGCCAGCCACACATTCACTTATTCATCTCCAAGAATTTTCATTCTTTCAGGTAAATATTTATTTTTCCATTCATATCCACTCACCATCCACTATCCATTGACATATGACAAAATATTTATGGAACACCTTCTGTGTGCTAGGTACTGTGCAAAACATTAGGGTCAAGGGGTCAGAGGGCATAGTTCTTATCCTCATGGGACCTACACGACAGCAGAAGAGACACACTCATAGAGGCCCTTGTGAAATGGCCATTGCTTTGAAGGGATTATAGGGCACTATAAGAATGTATTAGCTCAGACTTGGGGACTAGGGATGGCTGGGCTGACAAATGACTTCTACGCTGAGGTTTAAAGAATAGCCAGGGATAAGCCAAGCAAAGAGGAGTAGGAGGACAGCAGCTAGTGGTCTGGCACAGGATGCCACAGAGGCAAAGGCCTGGAATCCAAGTGGGCTCTGAACAGAGGGGGTGGAAGATATTTTGACATATGTGCATCCATGGGAGAGCCTGCACTGGGCTCCTCAGTGTGAGATGGTTGGGGTCAACATATTGTCCATTCAAATTCTGCTCCCTCTTCCACTCTTCCCCAGGGCTATATGCCCTGATGCTGAGATCCCCCACAGAGTCCCATTTTCCATGCTAGCACTGGTTTAGGCATGTGTGGGAAAATTGTTTTTGCTTAGGAGATATGACAAGTGTTCTGAGGGATTTCTCATTGTGTGAGATGATACTGCCTTCTTATTTAAGTCATTTTCTCATGGAGCTTTCAGTTTCTTGAAACCAAATGCAACCTAAATGATGTCAGGAACTATTATTGAGAATCTCCTTATCCTGGGCTCCTAAAGCTCAATGACACACTCCTGTGGGGCACAGTCCAGGAAGTGACAGACTACTGTCTCAAATCTCCTGGTCCAAAAGCAAGAATGTCCTACCCCACCTTAGCTGCAACCACCCCCACCAATTCAGCACCATGGTTCCTCCATCTTGTCCTCTTTCTCCTCCCCTCTCTCTCTCTCAGTCTTGCTTCCTCCACACCCTCAAGCCTGGTCTAGTCTCAGC